TGTGCTGTGCTTGTGTGTTTGTGCTGATCAAAAATGCATCATTACGTTAGATAATGTACGAACCTCTTCATGCGACGTTGTACATGAAATTAAAGTAATTGCACTTCCGTTACACTTACTCACTTCTACATAACTAACGACTCCTCAATTTTTATATGTCAATTGTTTGTATAATAATAATAAAATAAAATAAAAATCTTTCCGTAATACGCATAATAAAGCGATTACTTTACGGTGAGTTAAGATTGATTGACCTACAAAATCATTACATAAAGTAAACCAAAGAGAACGTGTCTGCGTTCCTTCTCACGTACTCAGAGCTTTTGCAGTGCGATCTTAACCGTAGTACTGGCCAGTTGATTATACCCATAGACCGCGGTTACCGCGCGCGAAACTGACATTCGAAATTTGAAATTTTGACGTCTTGTCGTCTTGGCGCGAACTTTGTCATAGTGTTTAAAATCTTGTTTCAAAAATGAAGTGCAATAGGGTCATGTTTATATTTTTGTTATCAAATATTTTATTTGATTTTTGTGGACATGTTTTGAGTCAAGAAAGTAATTTTGAACTACCAGTGCAGTTAGTAGGATTTCCGTTTATCATTGCTAGTGTCAAATTAACAAACTTTTTGAAGAAGTTTTCGTATTCTTTGAGCCCAGGTGAGTAGAGATTTTTGAAATGATTTCCCTAATTTAATGCGTGGTGATATCGTGGGGATTATTTGCGTCAACAGTTACGATTTAAGTACTATATTAATGTTCAATTTGTGAAAGCTATTGAACCTTTAAGTTCAATCAAATAATTTAATCATCAACGTACCCTATCCAATTGTAAAAATAAGCCTTTAAAAGAATTTTCATTGCATTTCTGACATAAATTCAATTAATTTTATAGGGGAGTTGTTTGTGGTAATTGCTTCATCAAATATCCAATCGTTAACCCATTTAAATTGACCGGACCGAGAGCGAATGATGAAGAGACGTTTTTTGTGAAAAATAAAATAAAGGAGAACTATTATATTTATTATAAGTACTGGTACTAACATTTAAATCTAATTCGAATGAAATTGTTAACGGCAGATACTCTTTTAAAGTTAACGAGGTCAAAGAAATATAGGAAAAAGATATCCAATTTTCAGAACAAAACGTTTCATTTCAAACCTGTTTCAAAATAGAATGAAAATATTGTATGAATCATAGTTTTCTACACGTTCATTCTTTGTGACAGGGGCTAGAAATATTGCACCCCAGTGTAACTTGCTGCTTGATAAATGCTCTTCAGCACTCCAGCACACAGCGGATTTTGTTATGAATATTTTTTGACCAAATGACTATTGAACTTTATACAGTTTTTGTGTGTATATTTTTCCAACAAGACGCTTTGATAGTGAAAAAAGTAGTTATAAATATTAGTAATATTATAAATCGGAAAGTGAGTTTGTTTGTTTGTTCCGATTTTACGCCGTAACTACTAAACCTAACCTACTGAATTTTTGCAGAAATTTGATATTCCCGAGGGAAAACAAAAGTATTGGTATAGATGGCGCTGTATGTATTGGTAAATGTCACATAGGCTACTTTTTATCCTTTTGTGACGCGAGCGAAGCCGCGGGTAAAAGCTAGTAAATATTAAATAAATGTTTATTTGGTGTAAAAAGTCAGATTACAATATAAATAAAACTTACCTAAAGGAAGTCTAAATTTATATAGTTGTGGTATTAGAGAGAGGTTTAGTAACGTCCGCAATTTTAGCTATTATTAAAAACTATACATTCGAAAAGATGTAATTTAACTTCACACCCAACAGAAGCTTTGACTTAACGCATCATACTTGCAATATCTTAACACATATAGCAACGAATTAGTCATATTTATATTAAATAAAACATTGCACAATTTCTGGAAATGTAACGTAAAAACCTCTTTACCAAAAACCCCAGCTTTGCAGTGTTTTCACTTCAATTAATTACCAACTTTATTTCGGTTGGCTTTACCCGGAATAGTGCCAAGGCTGTCCAGTTAAGCTGCTTAGATAATTCATCCTCTTTGAGTTTTTCAAATCCGCCATTTTCGAACTCGCGTTGAAAGAAAATCCGCTACTTATAGTTGACGTTGGTATAACGTTATAAGCTACACATTTTATTGGTTAATTTGTTGTAGTTATGTGAAATATTACATATATTTTACATAATTATGCAATACTTTTTGTTATGTGAGATACAGTTTTGTGTTACATAATTTATTATAGTATCTTAAAGACGGTCAAGGTAGTTTACGAATTTTTTATGTAGGTATACAAGCAATGTAAAATCTTAACCACAGCAACTTATTTTTATTATGATTGCCGAAATTAAAAAAAAGAAAGCAGTGTGTAAATATCATCTTCAATAGCAACAGTCTTGACAATGTTATTTACTCACATAATGCTTAGTTCAGAATTCCTTTAAACAGAAATAAAACTAAAAAAGTTTCCACAAACACAATATTAACAACTTTTGCTTACAACTTTACTTTAAAAAATATGTTTAAAAATTTTAACGCCCTCGTATTTTGAAGTCGGTTAATTGTAATACTAACTCCTTCTCCTAAATGTAGCAAACACTTTTCTGAAAACATCATAAAAATCCGTTTAACCAATCGAGATAATCGCGCGCACACACATACAGGTCAAATTGAGAACCTCCTTCGTTTTTTGAAGTATACTTTTTTATTTCTCACTTTAATACCAAACTTTTTTATGCTCCTTAATTCATCGATGATGACTTAACCTGCATTAGCCGAACCATCTACTCACTAGTGCATAATGGCTTGCAATAAATCACAGTAGTTTGTTATTGTGCGTTAGTGCATTAGTCTGTCAAATTAATTACCACCCAGAGACTGGACAAGTCGATTTACAGTTTATAGTTATCGATAAAAAACTTTAACTAAGTACGAACTTATTACGTGAATCTGAATGTAGATCTTTTGGAACAGGATCGTCGATAACTTTAATAATTTCTCGAATGTAATTTAAGTAGTTTCTCAGTATTAATAGCCAATTTAATAAGGTGTTTATAACGACGTTTAAAATATTATTAAGCTTACACATGCGATGTGGTTGCTTGACATCTGTACTATATTTTCAGTATAACTACTAAAGGTACCTTTTTTCTCTCCAATGACTTCTTTTAGTCATGAAGGAGGAGGAAGTGTCGGACTCTTTGTGACTAAATACTGCCCTGTTCTTAATTCTGCTCTTCGAACCGGAGTCTCGGCATCAGCCCTATTGGGGAACATCTGTGGTGGTCTGTTGGCTCTTTGGGGCGCGGAACCCGAATCGTACGGAACGTGTCCAAAAGGGCTACCTAGGGTTGATCCTAGAGTTTTGTACCGTGTCACGTTTTTATTGATTATTATATGGACCGTACAATGTGGGTCACCATTGAATTCAATCTCATACTGTAATAATCAGCATTCCATATCATGTATTGCTACAGAACCAAATGAAAAAACTGATTCAAGTATAATCTTATTTATTATTCCTGAGATACATACCTAAAAAGAACTTGTGAAAGGTTACGGTTTTATAACTTAAACGTGTAATACTCATTTTTCTCCATACTCTCTCCATTTCAAAAAGTATTCATGGGATTTTTTAATAGCACCAAAATGCAGTTCTTTTAGTTTTCCTTCTTTTGGAACGGCAGCAAAGAAAAAGTTTTGCTAGAAACTTAACGGATCGTGGCAGAGATTAAGTGCACAAGTGATTAGGACGAAGACAGTAGCAATTAACCAACTAATGTTCGTTGGATGATAAAAAATAGTTGAGATAAGTTCCCTGATAGTTTTTTCGTAATATTTAAATACTTTTTGTTTGGATTTTAGTAGCGTTAGGGTGATAAGTAGGTAATAAGTTTTTATATTTGGCAAAGCACTATGTCTAGTAAGATCGATGAGTAGAATCCTTAACTTAAGTTAAGGACTAAAGACTACATGGAGAATTTCCAGTTACGCTACGAAGTCATCTTAATATTGTTTTTCTAATAACAGATTCAGGTAAACAACTTCAAATTTAGGTTACGATATTTGTAAAAGACCTGAGCTTATGAAAAGTAATTTTAAAAAAATCTGATTATTTAGTTCCATTCCTGGGTCATCAAATTTCTACTCCCACTTTCTCAGCATAAGCTTCTCAAAGACTTTGATAGTACCAAATGCCTAAATTCTTATATATGTACTATAGCCTCAACTCCCAAAGATACCATTCGTTTTCTTAAATCTGTAAAAATACCGCCATTTTTCTTTCCTGTTAGCACAGCCAAAAGAAATAAAAAGATTAACTAGTCTGCGGGCTGGCTACCTAGGGAGTCCTAGATGGAGGTTTAGTACAGTCACCGATAAAAGGATTTCTGGAGCCAACTTTGAGTTAGAGACAAACACACATCTAATTATGGTCAATGTAACGTAAACCAGTAGTTTGATTTTAATGATTTGTTTCATTGCTTTTCTCAGAAGCTTCTTAAAACATTGGAGTGATGCTATTGTGACGTGTGTTTTTTCAACGACAAAGAATCAAAAAGTATTGTTCGTATATCCCCAAGCAGTCACCGGTGACCGCTCTCCACTAACTACATTATAGACCTTATTTCCGATGCATAGAGACTACTTTTGTATGAACAAATTTAGGGGATGATTTTCAACAGGTTAATAACAAATAATATGAGAAAGAAATTTAACAGATTCCAGGAACAATTTGACGCAAACTGTACTTTTACTAAAAATAAGTTTTTATACTCTGTGTACCCTAGATCTTGTTTGCAGCCATTTTTCTTTAAAGAAAACATATTTCATTCAAACTTCATATTTTATTTTAACATCATTCATCTTCATCCTTCTCTCTTCATTCTAATTTCCTGCAAAAAATAAGCAAAAAGATTATTTCCTTTTAAAATTCGATACTCATGATCTGATAAAATTTGATTATTTGATTTGTTTTTTTTTTATTTCGTAACGTAACGTGCAAGAGACCGACAGATCCGATTCCCACAAAATGTTTGAATGTATGTTTGTCTGCGTGACTTTGTCCACGTAGCAGTTGTATCATTAACTCATACCTATGATGTAATAGTACACGTAGGCAACGTGTATGCCGATGACGATTAATCGATTTAGCAACTTTGATGTTATGGGCAGCGATTATTGACTATGCTATTGATTCAACTTTATTTCAATAAGTTTAATTTTATATTTTTGTCAACTTTGGCATTACCATCGAACACGAGCTGGCGTGAGCTGCTATATTAGCAGTGGCTGAATGACGGCGTGCAATATACCGAAATAAACCAAAATTACACTATGCATACCTTAAGAACAGCTAAATGGATTTGGCTGAAAATTGGTAGGGAGGTAGCAACCAGGAGGCGGATATAGGAAACTTTTCTAATCAAGAATTTTCCGAAAATCCTATGGGAACGAAAAAATACGTCGCGGGAAAAGCTAGTATTGAATAAAAAACACCATTTAGCATCAAACATCTTTGGATAATGGATCTCTCTACTTAATAATCTATATCATTTCTAAACCTAATCTTCCCTTGTTCCAGCTACCTACCGCTCCCGCAACCGTCGTGAGCTGACCCTAGAACCGGAGCCCTTCGATGTCAATGAAGTGGAGAAATACATCGTCGGCGAGTTCGGCGCACGAGCATGTGTGTTTGAAAGGGTTTGTGCACACTATGCAACCAGGGCGCAGGCGCAACCGCGTCCACAGTTCGACTGGCCTAATGTGTTTAGGTAAATATGTGTTTGTTATTAATTATTTAGATTTATTATACGTACAGTGTTAGCAAATACAGGCTTACATACTTTTTAAATTTACGAGTTGATAGTCCGAATGTGAATCGTCAACGACTTAATTTTAAGACTTTATTACAAAAATAAATATTGAATTTCTGTCGATAAAAACTTAGATAGGTTTAATATTGAGATTGGTTATTGATTTCGGTCGTAGTAAAACTACTAGAGTTTCTTTGATTCTAAAATAATAATACGTACGATACGTTTTATATAACTCAATTAAATCGAGTTCAAAGTTTTATGAAACATCAGTACAAGTATGTCAACAGCTCAAAGGAAATAAAAGTGAACGATGTTCCCCTCGTAAATTATAAGTTAATACTTGCAAAGCACTTTGCACAACTTATAAAACTACTGCGCACTTAAAGTTATAAAATTGTCAAAAGAGTTCGGTTTTTACGTTCAAAAACTTTGTATAAGTATTTCACTTTTTACGCTTTTTGTTTATCTTTTCATTTTTTTTTCAAACTTTATTATACCTAACGAATTTTATTTTACCTTTTGTTTTATTACGAGTGTAGAGAACAGATTTTGGATTTTATTTCTGATTGATGCAAATTTTGAAGATAATATTATTTATTATACGATTTGTAGTCATTTTTTTCTGTGTATATATTATGTAGGTACAATATGCCACATCTCAAGTTCTTATCAGACATTTTTAAAGTTGTTTGCAAGTCAATTAACTGACGGTTTCATTAACCGCACCCTTGGCGAAAAACCTTTATATAACATTTTACATTAACTCTACCATATAATTCAGAACCTTTTACTGCACCCCTTTATTTCCTCACGACCTTGACACCTCGGTCCATCGGTCACAAAATTTCTATGAATATTTCATAACATTTGATTCCAATGTTTTCAATGCCACGTCCAATTGTGGCGAACCGGGTCAGTGGTCGGTGTTTCGTATAAGAATGCAGCAAAGTGTGTCCGTCAGTCGCAAGTGGGACATTGATGTAATAGTGGTGCGCTGTACGCAACCGCGCGGGTCATCGCCGCTCGCGTAGTCGCCCAACCATGAGGATTGTAGGAAATTGCGAAATTTTTTACTAAGGAGTTTCATTTGGATGAATATTTATAATCGTTTATGGTTTTCTTGGACTGTACTGAATAATTTATGCGTACTGTTGCATTGTTTTAAATTATGCGTGGTCATGATCTTTTGTTCATAAATTAAGAGTACAAATAGTAGTTAACATAGAAACACTATATATCCTTCAACAAATTACGTAAATCAAATCTTAGTTTGAAACATAGTTTACTGGCAGACTTAATGATTAATTACTGATTATCATAACATTATTTAGCTTGCAGGAAATTATATAAGTAATTACAACAAAAGAAGACGATTACTGAATAAATCAAGGTTATGTATGTTATTATGTCATTGCTAGGCCATGGTGAGGTCTAATAACTTTGAAAATATATTCATGGTAAATTATCTAATTTGTTTACTATCTGTTATGCAAGTTTAATAAATGAAATAAAATTTTATATATATTTATAATAGAGCAGACGTAACCAAATTATTAAATTACACTGACAGTATTGGACAAAACAATGTGAAAGTTTTGTATTTTTAACAAATTAAGCTTTCAACACATTTTATTAAGATTTTTTCACACAAAAGTAATCGAAGGTCAAGTAGGTAAGTCGGCAATCTGTGTGGATGGGTGACTAGAGTCTACTTTACGTTCGACGTCCGAGGTGAGCCACTATTATGCAACAGCGCAAAACACTTTCACTGCTCTAAGCTAACAAACAAAAATATACCTTAACGCAAGGAAATAAAGCATAGTAATACACAGCTTTTAAATATTTTCCTACATCTAAGATTACATTGAAATATCATACTTAGAGTTTTCATCTTAAGTCTGAAATTATAGATAGTTTCAACGTGGTTTTTTATTGTTGCAAAGCAATTGTCAGTTTGTGGTTTACAGAGATTATTATAAAGATACAGTTCCGTATTATCTCATCTTTTACGATGTAAAGACAGTAATTTGTGTGACCAATTACGATTTTCTATTTATTTGTAAAGGATAGTGAACTTGAGAAAGTGAATAATGAGTTAGGTAAAATCTTTGTTATATCTTCCATAGATCATTCGTACAAAATTGAACTATACGGGGCTTATTATTGCTTTAAGAGTAAAAACATTAAGATAAACGTATCAATAAAAAGAAATAAGTGTGGAAGAGCCATGCTTCTGTCCGGAGTGATATCTCGGCCTCACAGAAGACTGACGTGAAACAACGCTTGCGTTGTGTTTCGTCGTATGAGTGAGGTTACCGGAGTCCCAATTGCCCCCCCCTCCCTTCCCCAATCCCTGAATCCCCAACAATCCTCAAATCCCTAATCCCAAAACGCCAGTAAAGGAGTTGTAACGCCATCGGACGATTCGTTCACTTGTCCACTTGTCATATGTAACATGACTTTCACGCATCTATATTAGTACTTCGATGCAGTGCTGTAATAGTATTATATTTTATACAGTATTGCACCAAATTACACCCCAGAAATAAAGTCCTGGTATGTATCCAGTATCATTTTCAGTCAAATTTCTCAATTGCATCTTCAACTTTATGGAATTGACATGCAGACGAAAATACAATGAATAAATTTGAAAAATTGGACTAGGACTATCTACTGTACATCTGTAGGTACTTATAATATTTAACATAATGTCACTGAACAGACGTCAACTCATAATTCTTTTGCATGTAAAGTATTCACGGGAGAATTCAATGAAATAATTTTATAATAACTCTGTCTGTGAACCATGGATAAGACTTCATTCTTCATTTTTCATTTCTCTTTAGCTTTGAACCTTGGCATTTTTAATTTAAATGTATATCTCTATTATTTCTATGATACCTTGGTTTACCCTCGCTTTATATTATATTATATTTTTATTTTTTGTAGTTTTTAGTTATGTTAGGTATGTGTGTTCTGCGTAAGAATAAATGGATTTCTCTTTCATGCTTTTTAAAATATAAAGTCTTTGCTTCTAAAGAAATTAATCACTTAGTGGATGTTGCTGTAGGGGTTTCATAATGAGAATGAAGTGCAAAAGTATGTCAGTCTGTGTTGTTTGAAGACCACTAGTTCTGCTGTAGTTTTTATAAGTTTTATATTAAACATAGAGATTTTCTTTATCTTGTTTTGTGATTAAAAATGCATTTCACGACTGGTAGCGAAATTTAGACTTTGATTTATATTACGTTGTGTATGAATTGGGTACTTGCCTGTATCAAAAATAAATTATTTCAACTGTTTAATACAATAAAATGCTATTACTCCTTCGAAAATCAACGACGCCATGATAATTATAATTATAATCTACTACAAGCTGAATAAACCACAGCGTTCTTTTTTAAATTATACCCTTTTTAAATGTATTTAATTTTTATTTACAGTCAATACAAACGCTCGCCGGATCAAGCCAAGGAGTTCTATCTACTCTCAGTGTTCCTGGGTGATATCGTAGGCTCACCGCAGTTGTGTCATCAGATTGGAAAACGGAGGAGTTGTGACTCTCTAGCTTATGGGATAGAATAATAAGTAATGTAACTCCAAAGATAAGTATGTGAACATGTTAGAAATGCATTATCTTTTTTATGTAAGTTGGTAGGATGTAGTTTGTACAAAAATGTAATGGTAGATTGTTGTTTTAGGTAGTTTTAGTAGGTGTTTTAAAGGCTATTGTTTTGTTAAAGTGTATATTAAATTCAATTGGTCGTCTTTCGGTGATAGGTAAGGGGAAAGGGTTTGTAGACCTATTTACATTTCATTACACAACAAGGAAGTACTTTTTAAATAAAGGTTAAATATTTTTTTGACTTGCAGCACTTTTATATGATGCTAATAAATTTAAAAAGGCGACTTGTGAAGCGAAACAATAAGGAAGTGCAGGATTTTTACCTCACTGCCATCATTTAGTATGGTAATCTCCTTCACGTTCATTGTGGAAAAATCTCACGTCCATCGAGGATCTTCTCGGTGGGCATGGCAACGCCTTTAAGTAGACACAAGGTCCTTTAAATAGACTAACTTTGAATCGGTGTAATGCTTAATTACAAACATTCCTATGAAGAGTTACCCTTAGAACCTATTAGAATATCTATAACTTTTTAATAAAAATCCAGAAAACCGATTTATTATTAACTATGATTATACATAACGACATTTTTATTTGAATAAAACTTAGAATTTAGTTAGCAAATGTTTTAGTTTTAATTCATAGAATAAGCAATAACCTACTGTTTTAGAGTAGGTTCGAATTTGTCGGGCAAATGTGTAATTATAGAAAAAGTTATCAATTTGTAGGTAATGAAAAAGTAGTAAGTAGTATTTTTAATGTATTTTTTATATATAAGTATGTAATGTCTATAAAGATATCACTTCAATGTGTTCACAAGGAATAAGTTAAGTAGTTAGTGTATTTCATCATTATCAACAGCCTACAACAGCCCACTGCCAAGCAAAGCCTCTTCTCACACTGAGAAGGTTTGAGCATTAATCACCACGCTGGCTCAATGCGGGTTGGCGATTACAAAATTATAATTAGAAATTATAAGCCCAGGTTTCCTCACGATGTTTTCCTTCACCGTTTGTCAGTGGCGACTAGATAATCTTAGAAAGTACCTACATATAACTCGGAAAAAGTTACCTTGGTACTTGCCGTTTTTAGGTTTCGAACCCACACACTCATGCATGAAAAACGGGCGTCTTAACTCGTCGAGTACCGTCATTATAGACACAATTATAGAACAATAGGTTGCGGTCACCGGTGACCGCTTGGTGTTTGACAGTTTAAACCTCCTGGCCACCAAGACGTTAGTGTATTTACAGCCAGAAAAGCAATTCAGTATGCAGGAAAAAAAATAAAAACTAGTTCAGTACAGAAACAGTAGTTATAAGTATTAATACCAATGGCCAAAGTGTATGCTTTGTAAAGAAGTCCTATATTTTCGTAAACGACTATTAATCAAAACAAATTACAAAAAGTTGAGAATGTTTTTTAGTTCGGGTTTTACAAATAGCTTAAGTAATGAATAATTGCGTTACATCCTCTATTCCAGTAGTTTCCAAAGTTGTCTGGACTACAATCTATCTAAATCATGTTAATAAAATCAAGACACGCCTTCAGGGAATTAAACCGTTACTAATATGATAAATGATCGGCTTGCAATCCGCCATTTTTCTTGCCTGCATACCATATAACTTGGGTGGCTGTTCATTAAGTATATCTCAGTGATAATACCACACAGTTAAGCTATGTATTGATATTAAATATCAATCTTCAAGAGATGTTAATAATTAACTAAAAATCGCGGATTACTCAGGTGAAAATACTAAGAAAAGCTCTACTAGTTTTGAGCCACAGAGGGGCTCTTCCTCATGAGCAGCGTGCGCGGTTCTACTATGCAGTAGGTTGCGCAACATTGTCGCGACTACACTACTAGTAGAGCTTTTCTCAATATTTTCACGTGTGTAACCTGAAAATTTTAGTTAATGTAGTATGTCTCACGATAATAATAAAGAAATAAAAATCATTTATTTCGGACATCTAAGAGATCCATAAAATTAATTAATATCTATACCATACATCATTAATACCATACCATCGCAGTTATACAAAATTTAGTCAAATATCATAATTACATTAAAATCAGTCATACTTAAACTTAAAAAGAAGATGTCAACATAGATTCAAAAATTTCAACCAGCCAGAAATACATAATTATTATAAAAAGCTATCAATAACTAACTTAGTTTTATTTACTAGTTATTATTATACATATTATGATAATTGGAAAATACCACATCAATATAAAGTGATGATAATTAAGATATGGAATAAATAATTTTAAAGTAGTTTAAGATTAACGCGCGCATTAAGTTACCTATATTGTGATGTAGTACTTAACAATTAACTTAAATATATAGCTATGGGTCCAAATAATCCTTTTAATAAATAGTTGTCTTTCAAGCTTTCTTTTTAACTTTTTTAATCTTGTATCTTTACTTTTCTATGTTTTTCATGGTATCAACGTGATGGAAGCCAAAGATGTACCTATGTAAGGTGTATAGTTACTGTCTTCCCCCATAAGACAAAGGTTTGAGTTAATGTGTGTATATATGTCACCGGAAAGTAATAAAACCTGTAAGCCCTGGGAAATTTATATATATCCATAGGATTCTGAAATCTGATAATTCTGAATTAAATGACGTATCTATTGTATTAATTAAGTAAAATATTATTGTAAACATGTTTACATGCTCCGCCACAAGATCATTATGTTATACAGATAGATACTGTAAATGAAATAATAAGTGAACACTGCACAGAGGTGTATAGCTGGCGCCATTTCAATTACATAGGGACCCCGGCCGCCAACGTGCATAGATTTTTAAATTTATTTCAGAAATCACAAAAGTCAAAACAAGCAATTCATTTTTTTTTCTGCGTTTAAAAATGTGTTCACAAATTGGTAGAAACTTAAGAAAAACTAAAGTCATCATAGGTTAATAGTTCGGGCAGAAACATGGGCAATTTGACAATTTTGTAGATTTTAATGTTGTTCTCTTCGATTTCTAAAACCGCGGCCAGTAGCAGTTTTCTCCAAAATTTCTTTCCATGGGCCCTCAAAAATATAAAAATATTTGGCGCCCCTAAACCTTTTTTTATACGGGGCCCCGCAACACATACTATATGTTTATACCATGCCTATACCATATCTAACTACTTCTATTTCATCTTGTAAATCGTTTATTAGTAGCTAATTATAATAAAACACCTATGTTTATTTAATTTTTAGATTACAATTTTATTATTGCGTTGAGGTTTAATAATAAGTAATTAATGTATTGTGATCAACAATGCATACAGAGGCTAATTGATATTATGTATTTCTATCTATTTACTTCTCGTATGATAAGTAATTAAATTAATTAGCAGAGTAATATGACAATATTTACAATTTTTATGCTAAATATTCAAATTCCATTTAATTTATGCATAAAATTAATAATAACTATTACTAAATTAAATATATACAATACAAGATAAAAATTAATATATACAACTTAAAATATATAAAAAAATTTAAAACTAAAATATTTACACCTTAAAAAAATAATAATAAATATTTAAAAGACCACACCAAACAATATTTTTCCTCTTGTTATAATTATTTTCTCCTTTTCTTTATAATTACTAGTTTAATTTAAGAATGTATAGAGTTGGATGTGTTTTATACAAGTTATTAGTTATAATAATATTATTATAATAAGATTTCAAACCGTGAATTCTTCCATTTAGTTTGCCACAGGATAAATGTGCAATTAATATTATGAATTCTTTTATTTTTATCTCAACACCTGTATACTTTACCTGTATACTTTAGGTAGGTAGTAAAGATCTATTCTTGTACAGAAAAATCAGCACATTATTTTTTTCTCTAAAAACTCTTCAAACAGATGATTTGATTTTCTTAAATAGGCACACTTTTATATTTGTTTTTTTTTTTTTACATTTTGGCACATCTTTGAAACGTTTTAAAACGAGTATTTCATCTTAACCCACGTGTGCAGGATCTGTTTTAAAAGAAAACAAATTACTGTTTGATAAGCAAAAAAGTTACATATTTCAAATGGTAGAATGAAAAATGGCTGAAGGACAATTTCAGGTGTTTCAGTATTTATATTGGGACATTTTAGAGTAGGTAAATGAATAAGTATGTAATTTAATTAGATATAAGTGTTTTATATGGTTATTATTGATAAATATGTTTTATGCATAGTTTATATATGTATGCATTAAAATAGGTAGAGGTAATGACAATAAAAAATGTAGAACTAGTCAACTAGAAACAATAAAGTGGTGTATATATTTTTGGTGTTTTATTTTATGCATAAGGTGAAAAGGAGCAAACTTCATATAATTCATAATATTAAAAAGGATACCTTAATTGTATTTTTCCAAATTGACACAGAAATGAAGCCGAAATCTCATTCTCTGTAATTAAACTAGCCGATATAACTCTAGGCGTTAGCGTTGTGTTCCACGCGCGCCACTAGAGGAAGGAAATCAGCTTGCAAGGGCTGCTTCGTGGTGGGACCTGCCGCTTTATAGTGGTAGGTCGAGGTCTGCCGGGTGCGTTGATTCCGCAAGGGCGTCCCGGGTCACAGCCGTGGATAAAGGAGGAATACCGCGATGGTTTTAGCCGATAAGAGTCCGTCCTCCCGTCGTCCCCAAGACGTAGGAAGTCCATGAGGATTTCCATCGCGTTATAATAAAACTCCGAGATGACTCAACCAACGAGTCTTTCCTACAATAAAATTGCTAAATTAGGTAAGGTAAAATCGGATTAATTAATTTTCTCTCAAATTATTTCTTATCTCGGCTGTCGGATCTTGTAGAATTTCATAATACCTTTCATTCATCATAGCTATTCTATTTAAACGATTTCATTGAAACAATTTCATTGGTTTCATATTCTGTTCAATTTTAATAAGAAGGATTAGAACTATAGGTAATTTCTTGATAATGAAGCTTAGTTATATTCTTGGAAACCATGCCTACAAGTGTACTACTTTTTCTATCCGTGTCGTAGACTCGTAGGAACCGACTACGCAGTCAACTTGTCAACTATCGAGTTTGTAACCAACATTTTGTATGAAGAAGAATCTTCTTAAAATTTAGCAACAGCTACCTCTAATCCTGGTGTGGCTAGAAACAAATCAAGTAACTTTGACGAACAGTGAGGAGAGTACTGTTTATGTTGGTATAACTTATTGAACGAAAGCTTGAAAGGTTGGATGTTACGAGAAGTAAGTTTTTTTACTCGTTATCGGTACATAGCAAATGCTTAAAGAGATTAATTAATTTAGCATACTAAATTAATTATTATTATATAAATTAATTACTACCTATGTTTTTCGGCATAATCACGTTATTATTTGACAAGGAAGTCGACTAGTTTAGAGGTTCATATTCGGTAGCAGCACGACAGTCACCGCATCGCGGGTCGCGGAATGCTGATCGAGAATAATTACGTGAGTAAGTCGAAAAATGTAATAATTAATCTATTTAATCCTTTTCTATGTACTCATAACGAGTAAGAAAACTACATAAAACACTTGATATCAATCTTCATTATCCTTCTGAAGGTCAAAAACCCACTGAAGCATCTCTGAAAACAATACGGTACACAAATTGCAATCATCTCCCTTCCCTTCCATGATAAGGAACCAGGTCAATTGTTTTGAAGTGGCCTGAAGTATTGAAGGGGAACACAACGTATTTTGGTACAAAATTTGCAAATGGACCGGAAAGATCGGTCCATTTCCGCAGACCCAATATGGCTGAACGTCCGGTTGGACATGGCGTTAATCATGCGGTTCAGTTTTATTGTTTTTATGTGGAGTTGTTATAAGAATGTTTTGTATTCGTTCTAAGGCTTATATTTTTAGGCGGTTTGTTATAAGGGTATAAAA